ATTTTATTTTTTTTTTCCCTTTGGCAACATTAAAAAAATAATAAAACATTTATTTTCTTTTCGTTTCTACATGTATACTTTTTAGGTTATGAATCCCCGATGTGGTTTCAGGATTTTGTAACCCACTATTTGAACTCATTACACTGAATAACAAAAAACTTCAGACATAGTTATACATATTGCTAGTTTATAAGATGAAAGTGTTGTCTGGCACTGAAAAGTGTCTAACTAGGACCATACGGTAATTGCCATACAGGCACACTTACAAATTCTTAGAGAGAGAAAGAGAGAACGCTCTTAGACCAGATATATTTGCTACATCTCCACTGTCTAATATATTTACTGGTGAGCACTTCATCTCTGAGTCTGGTATTGATTTATAAAACCCTGCTGTAATATTTCTAATCCCTCCATATATGCCCAGAGGATAACAGACCAGACCTGGCAGTGTTCGGCAAGACATACACGAGTCAAAGCAACATGAACCATGCCTGACTCGACTTATCCACACTTATCATGTTCTCAGACATTCATCTGACAAAACAGGCACATGCAGGCATGCACGCAATATGTGATTGTAACAGCATGAAAACTGCAGATTCACTGCATTTTCACTGAGCTGAAAAAAATGTGATTAGAGGGTATGAATTGATTACTGTTAGCTTGAGCTGGATTTCTATGCTATAGGACCGACCGCATCAGTGCTCACAGATGTAGCTGCTAATTGGTTATCAGACACAGCACACACATACAAATAGATTCCAAGGGGAAGAAAGGTAATGAAAGAGAGAGAGAAAGAGAGTGATGGAGAGAGATAACGTCTGGAATTACAACTCTGCAAATCAATCTAGCACACTCAATGTTCGCTGTGGCTGATGGAAACTATATTTTCTCATTTTTCACAGCTTTCCAAAAATATATTTGATGAAAGCAACTTAGAAAGGATCAGTAGGGATTTCATGACTCTCAAATATATACTTAATCTTGTGGAATTGGAGCAGTTATATTTGGTTTAAAGATTCCCTGCATATTAAACCACAAAACCATACAGGGAATGTCACACACAAACATCTTCTAACAGGCCATATTCTACATTTGCTGCTTTTTTCCCCATTAAGTCTGCTTATATTTTTGGATCAAAACAAAACAACCTTTTCTCTCTGACCCCTATAAAATAACCTTTTTTTTTTAATTCAAATTTCATTTTGTATTTATTTACTGTATGTATGTTTCACTACCGTTCAAAAGTTCAGTGTCTGTAAGATTTTGTACTGCTTTCTTATGTTTAATAAGGCTGCATTTATTTAATAAAAAATACAGTAAAAACAGTAATATGTGAAAAATAATTATTATTTAAAATAACTGTATTCTATTTAAATATATTTTAAAATTCAAATGTATTCCTTTGATGGCAGAGCTGAACTGTAAGGAGTCATTACAGTGTGATCCATCAGAAATCATTCTAATATGCTGATGTGGTGCTCAATATAAATTTCATGTTATTATCAATGTTCAAAACAGTTGTGCTGCTTAATATATATATATATATATATATATATATATATATATACATACAATAATGTAAAAGTTTCTAGAAACTATTATCTAACATAAAATTGACCTAGAATGAAAAGAAATGTCATAATGTCGACATACTGTATGATGAATTGTCCCACATTTTGTGTGCAACCCTGTTAGAGTTGACAGCAATGATCATGCAAATTTCTTTAATTTAAGGGGAATATCAGTAAACCATATTTTAACTATTTAATTTGAATATTTTGTTGTTGCAAATCAGTAAACATTTTCTAAAATTCTGTGACAGGTTTGCTAAAATTAAAACTTCTTACAAAATGAATAGAAAAAAGCTCAAATAATACTTAGTTTGACCCCATTAGGTTGGCGAGATGCTTTTGCTTATAAGGTTAAAGGAGTAGTTCACCCAAAATTGAAAATTTCCTGAAAAATTTCTCACCCTCAGGCCATCCAAGATGTAGATGAGTTTGTTTCTTCATCAGAACAGATTTGCAGAAATTTCGCATTACATCACTTGCTCACCAATGGATTTGTTGCAATGAATGGGTGCCATCAGAATAAGAGTTCAAACAACTGATTAAAAAAGCTGCATGGTTATAATAAACAAATTCATCATCAAGATGTCTTTAACTTCAAAAAGTTGCTTCCATCTATAATATGAGTTCTCTATCCATAATAACTCCATAGTAATCTTGTCAGAATCAAGAGAGAAATATGCACAGATCAAGCACTGTTTACAAGCAAACACAGTCCAAAACAGTTCTAAACAAATATGCTGGTGGATTTTGATGTGAGAGGACAACAGAGGACGGACTTTATCACTGGAGGAAGCATTATTATGGATTATGGGCTGGTATTTTGGCCAGAAGCAATGGTTTAAAGTTAAAACACCTTAATTGTGGATTTCTTTCTTTCAAACATGCAGCTTTTCACTTCACAATATGTTAATTGATGGACTGCAGTCATGTCTGCAGATTACTTGTGGATTATTGTGATGTTTTTATCAGCTGTTTGGACTCTCATTCTGACGGCACCCATTCACTGCAGAGGAACAAGTGATGTAATGCTGAATTTCTCAAAATCTGTTCCTATGAAGAAACAAACTCATCTACATCTCAGATGGCCTGAGATGGCACTGATCATTTGTTGGAAAACAAAAAAACAAAAAATTATTTATTAAGAATTTCAGGGCCTATTTTGTCTTGTATTTCTGGAAAGTGCCCCCACACCCGCTTTTAACCAACCACATGAACCTTAACGTAGACACACTCACACACATTAACCGCTGAGATGCCTCATTTCCCTCTTTTCATCTCTGTCTCTTTCTGACATTTTCTCCCTCATTCGTTCCTGTCCCCTTTCACATCTCTATCTCTCTCCATCCCTCGGTTTCCCTCTGATCTGTCTGGTTAGTGTATTACCGTGAGGGATATTTGAATGGTAATTGCACTCCCATGGTGCTGAGGTTTTAATCTGTCTGCTAGGGAAGAGGACCTCTATTAATTGAAGATGGAATTGCAGAGGAGAGCTGCGCTCTTTTGCCCCTCCATCTCTTGGGTTGCCTGTCCGCTGTCCTGAAAGCTGGGCCTTGTACTAGGAAATAATCCATCATCCTTCCAGACTGACAGAGAACTGACCCTCACATTCCGGCGACAATACAATTAACATTTACAATCTGCTCAGAATGCCACAGAATTCCACGGCGCAACATGTTAGTCAATGGGTTAACTAAATTACAAGGCTGAAATGTAACAGAAAAGAGAAACCTGAAGGGGAAATGATGGCAAAAAAAAGCTTGTCCATGTGAGAGTGATTATAAATGGGTCAGAACACTGACCTGGAATCAGCTTTTGCTGATTTTTTTTGCAATAGATCTGAACAGATGGGAGGTTGGCAAAGTCAATATGACATAAAAATTGACTTTTGTAAATTAGATTCCTGTTTTGCTGACATCACAAAAATCATTGTCTTATTTAGTATTTTTGTCCCAATTTCCTATATCTAAACATCCTCAAAACAGGATCAATTTGCTTATCTTGAATTAAGTTTATTTCACTTACCCTACTGGTAAATTGTTTTCTTGCTTTAATCATAAGCCTCACTAAAGATAAGGGACAGATATCACAAGAGAGATTGCAAAGCTAAAAGGGAGAGATGGAAAGACAGAGAGAAAGACAATCGAATAGAGATTATTTACTGCAGCGGATGGCGTTCAGCACGCACCCTCGGCTATGCACTGCAATGTATCACAGTAATGCCGTAGACTTCAGTGCCAGAAGAGCAGGCCTGCATCTGATACATGCCATTAGACACACCCATGTATTCCTCAAGCCCTCTGGCTCTCTGAAGAACAGAATGTCAAGACCCTGAAAAGCTGTCGCACATGTCTGTGACTCACCACACATCCTCAGAATCCTCGTCGCACTCGGCCCCAAACTGACAAATGTCACATGTTGATGTCTCCTTCTGACTGATCTCGGCTGAACCCTCGTTAACTGGAGAGAGAGAGAAAGCAAATGAGATGAGAGATCTTGAGAGTTGCACTTAAAGGGGTCATATTATGAGGTCTAACAGCGTTCATCAATGTCAAAATAATTCAGATGGCCAATCAAATCAAAGTAGGCTGGGTTAACAGTTCACAGAAGCAGAGTGCAAATTCCAGCAGGAAGCATCAATTTAGGAATGAGGTGATATGGAAATGTGCAAAATGCAAATCATTATAGTCAACTGTTTTATGATAGAAATGTTAAATGACCAACAGCTATATCCAGTGATGCAAACAACTTTTTTTTCCCTCAAATATGCGTGTGTGAATTACCAACGTCAGGGGTGTATTAACACACGGGGTTCAACGGGGTGAAATCCAGGGGCCTACACGTGGAAGGGGCCTACTGGCTGCAGTAATACATTATATTTTTTGAATAATTATTTGTAAATATGGATGTTTGCAGCAGTGACAACAGGGTCTTATTAGCACAGTTGTTAGTCAGAAAAATTAAAAATGGCACTTCATGGCCAAAAGGTTGCTGACCCCTGCCATATACAGTGTATATAGACGATAGTAACAGCCATCAAGTACGGTTAAATAATTAGTTAATTATTGCTGGGGACCAGCCCACTTGTTGCAGTATCAGCCAAGCTGCCCCTCAAAAAAATAAAAATTTAACCATAAAAGTGATGCATTATTGACGACAAACAGCCTGAGACTCTTCCGTTAGCCCACACCTGCATGAAAATCTGACATTATCACAAGTTTATCACCACAGAGATGAAGACACCTCACCTTAGTGGTTTATACTGAAAAAGGAACAGTGTTTGGTGTGTATTTGTAATGTAATCTAAGCTTGAATAGTGCCCCTGACTAAAACGCTTTAATTAGGACAGTGCTAATTGCAAATTTGCAGTGCTTGAGCCGCTATTGGCAGTAAATGAAAAGATCTAACTAAACATAGCATGAGAGTTTCTGAAGGCTAAATATGGGTCAAGCAGCAGCTTTTTGCCTGAAAAAAATAGCTAGTTTGAGTGGGTGTAAAGGAACAGCCTGATTTTCTACACATTATGGAGTATAAAGTGTCAGTTGTTGCAATGTGGTCACATTCAGATTCACAGAGTCAGGGATAGTGTGTAGTGTTGCTAATAAAAGCTAGACAAAGCATTTAAGCTAAAATGGAGATATTAGCTATGGGCTAAGACGAGTTTAGTAAAGAATCACCTCCTTCTTGTCGCTTACAATCAAATGCAGAATGTTAGTTCATACTGCATGATGAATCTGATAGTTTGAACTATAGCTACCCATGGATTCCTGTGATTGTCATATCAGTGCGGATCTGACTAGCTACACCCAGATTTCTGATAGTGAGAAGAAAGTTCTATAAGACGTATATTCTGCACAAGCAGCATATCTGCTGCCATTATAGCCGGACCCTATTTTCTTAGTTTACGGACATGATATAAATATGCAAAAACAAATGACAGGACTTTGAAGTTTCCATCCAAATCAAACCCGACAGCTCTGAATATAATTCCTTATTCCAGAGTCCTTTTAATTCACTTGATAATCAAAAACTAGGCATTATCATATGCCCATCCCATATATTACCACATTTTTGGGATAGTCCACCCAAAAATTTACATTTTGCAATCATTTACTCATCCTGAAATTTTATTTTTTTTGTCCATACAGTGGAAGTCAATGGTAACCAATTCCATTTTATTACCAACATTCTTCTGACTAACTTACAGAAAGTCATACACATTTGGAACAATATGAGGGTGTGTACATTTTGACAGAATTTTCATTTTTGGGTCAACTATCCCTTTAAAACCATTTTCTTGAATTTCCAGCAAAAACAATTATATTCTGTTACTTGCGTCCAAATACTTCCCTACGAAAACAGTATGTTAAAACAGTATGCTAAAAGAGTAGTATTTTAGAATTCACAGCATTCATTAAACAGTAGATGAGAAGTACTTGGATGACCTACTACTTCGGTTAAGATTCTGAATTGAACATCAGATGAACACTTTACTATCCCATGAGGCCATGGGAGGGGGTTTGTGAATTGCAGAGAAGCAAAACAGCTGATGCCGTAGGTCACATGACAGAGACAACATGGCGAATGTAATGCATCCAGGTTTCATTCATACTCCAAACTACGTAGAGTGTACTTTTTGAACGGGCGTGAAGTAAGTTCTTATTTAATATATGTGATTTGGGACACAGATTATGATACAAGATTTTGTTCATATATGTCCTTCCCTATTGGATACATAAGATCTCATGTTCAACAATACTCTTTCTCTCAAGTTAACAAAAGTTTGATTTAGAATCTGTATTTTTAAGAAGCCCCACTTGTATCTAAATTTCTCTTTTTTTTAGGAGTCAGTTGTCAAAGAATGGAATTAAGTGTGTTTTCATCATTGGATTTACGTGTGTGTGTGTTGGAAGACTTTTGTGCAATATCCCTGCTCAGTTATGTGTGAGTGAAGAGGAAGTGTTGTTTCCACGTCAATAGAACATATCTGATTCTGAGTGTGTATGTGTGTGATTTAGAATGTATGAGCCAGAGCTCATCAATGTTCTACACTCGGACATTAAAACATGTTTGATCTTCCTGGAAGAGGGGCAACACTTTCCTCAAGCTAAACTCTGATCCACACTGATCTGTCACCCCTCCATCCTTCTCTCTTCCTGCCCTTTTCTTTTCTATTTCCCTCCCTATTTCCTTTTTTATCCTCTCTTATTTCATTTCTTTTCTTCTCATCCTCAATTTCATGTTCCCATTCTTCTGTTGTTCCATTTTTTCCAGTCCCTCGTCTTATGTATATCACCTCCTGATCAGTCAATGGGATGGGCATGATGGCTAGCCGTTTAACAATAATTGAATAAATAAGAGTGGTTAACTATATGTAACTAAACGCCGTTCTTTTGTAATTTCTATTCACCGAATACTAAAAAATGTATCACTGTTTGTACAAAAATATAAAGCATTCAACATTGATAACAAGAAGAAATGTTTCTTGAGGACTAAATCAGCATATTAAAATACTTTCTGAAGAATCATGTGACACTGAAGACTGGACTAATGATGATGAAAATTCAGTTAAATATTTTATTTCACAATATTATTGTTTACTCTGTTTTTGATCAAATAAATGCAGCTTTTGATACTTTTAATGTAATTATTTTTTGTGTAATTGTAGGCAATGAATTATGAGATGCAAAATCACAGAGAGTTTTAGCATTCTAGAAGCATGCTGTATTTCACAGTAAAGGCCCTTTCACATGACTCACATCAGCTTTGCCCAATTAATTGAACTCTAGGAGCTATTACCTCCAGCGGCACACTGCGTGCCTGTCAAGCACTGTTAATGCATCACTCAAAGTTCAAACAATTTAAAACTTGATCCTGTTTGCCGTGACCTTTTAAAGCACAGCCAGTGATTACTGGAAAATTCACGTGATGAATGCATTTACAGGTCTTAAGTTTGTGATGTTTGTACATGCTTTTGCATCTCTAATGATGCCGTTTAGAGTTTTAAAAGCAATGAGATATTTCGAGGAGATTTTGAATTCCTCCTTTATTCAATTATATTTACCTTAATATTTCCAACAACAACCCAGTTCTTAAATTCATGTAAATCCATTTTTGACGAGTGTTTTTTTTCCTTTCTGCAGTGTATTGAATCAATTTCCATGCCCCTTTTATATTCTAAGCTTAAGCTTAAATACATGTTTTCGCTGTTTACTGTGTGTGCACAACTGCTTTCTTGGTACATACAAGTAGCAACCTCATAGAATTGGCTTTTCGTAACTCTATCTGCAATGCTTTTCATGTGGTGGTCAAAAGTGCACATGATGCTTGCACTAAAGCCTTGATGTGAGTTATATGAAAGGCTAATGTATGAAATGGAAAACCTGCATATTATTTTCTGAATACTGCACAGTATGCCTATTACAAAATAAGTGGTAACTGAAGCAGTTGCCAGTATTCTGCTAACATGGAGATCTTGGAAATAATAAAAAAAACATTTTATTTTGCATTTTCTTTACTTTTGTGCAAGAATTTCTTGTCTTTTTGCAGTCTGATCAAATAAATAAATCACTGGAGACTGTAAAAAATTACTGGAGTAAGAATTATTGGAGTATGTTTTCCAAGAAATATGATTTCATCCTTTCTACTTTCTAGCATTTCATGTTTAATTCAGTGTTTTACTTGCCATTTCTTTGTAAATAATTGTGAAACTTACTAGCAAATTCGGAGTTAACTTTTTTTCTGCGTATGCTTATTCTTTTCAGTGTATGCTATTCCAAACATAAAGCTTACTACATTAATTCTGTATTTCAGAACACAATGTGACTTGAACTTTATAAATAAAACTGAACTAATATCAGATGCAATTTTCAGCTGACTTACTTTTTGTGTCTCATCAGTTTATCAGACTTTCAAAAGCCTGACATTTTTACACAAAACTGGATTAAAAAGGCAAATTATGTTACTTTCTGATATAAACATGCAATGTGGTAATGTCATGTGACAACAATATAGCATGATATAGCAAAATGTCTACTTATTTTTTTTAAAGTACTAAGACCATTAGGTGTTCCATTCCAAACAGTCTCTTCCTCTCCATTTGATCGGCTGAACTTTTCTAATATTTCAGAGTAGATATCATCCCTCCCTTCAGAGTGTCCCTCCCTCTCTCTTTCTTCTGTTTCTCTCTCCTGATCTTCCTGTCACCCCATCCAGAATCTCTTTTTAATTAGCCATGCTCTAGAGTGAAATTCTTCATCCTGGATTCACTTCATAAGTACTGCTGGCATATTCACATCTATCAGGAGAGGCAGACAGAAGCTGCTGTCATCCGAACTCAGTATGAGCATTTTTGTGTGAGTGTGTAGATGTGAACATACAAAGCGAGATTATTATTGTAATGCTCTGTATTAATTAGAGATGAGTTGCAAATACTCACCATCATCCCCTGATCCAGAGCCAGCATCTACAAAGCAGAAAAACAGATGGTCAGGAACACAAGCATCATGTCCATTCAAACGGATTTCGTTGTATTTTTGAACCAATTCTAAATGCAACTTACAAACAAAAAAACAATACATTTGATAATTAGGTTGCACCTTCATAGATACAAAAGGTGTTGTCTGCAACACTGTGGCAAAATCATACATCCACACATATAAATCCAATCTGGCCAACTGAGTCACTGCTTCTGCAGATCATTTGCATTAAATTGAAAATTTTGTGATCATCTACCCAGCCTGCATGTTGTCGAACTTCTATGATTGTAGAGCTCAAAATTATCTTATAAGTTTACTGGCTGTCAAGTTCAATTGCATTTTCACTTTATTAAAATTAATTAGGTTGGGATTTGAACACAGGTCCTCTTTGCTCACTAAGAAAAAAACTGTAGTTTTAAGAAACAAGAATGCTGTAGTTTAGTTAAGTGATGATCAAATAGAGAGGCACAAATGTCAAACTGATGTTAAAGGCATATTCCTCTAAAAATGAAAAATCTTTCATTTAATTATCTTCATGCCATACCAGATGTATATGACTTTCTTTCTTCAGATGGACACAAACAAAAACAGTAAAACAATCCATCCCTGTGAGTCTATATGCAATTATACGGGTCCCCCAAAGTTGATGCATCATAATCGACACAAAGCAAACACTGCGATAATCCATGTGACCTCAGTTGATTAATCAATTTATTCTAAAGTTAAACTTAAGAAAAGGTGTGTGTAAAAAATACCAATATTTTAAAAAGTTTGATCTATAAACCATTGCTTCCGGCCAACTGTCATATACGTTGACACTTGACATAAATGTCATCACATTGTTAAGTGTGACATAAGTGCATTGTGTGAAGTGACGTCCTCTTTGCTTCCTCGTGTGAGCTTTTTATGTCACGCTTCACAATGTGCTGATGTAGCGTTTCACAATGCTCTCATTAATCCATGTTTGACAGCTGACCAGAAACAATAGTTTATAGTTAAAAAAAGTTTAAAACATTAGTTCTTACACACACAACTTCAGAAGACATTGATTCATCAACTGGGGTGGTATGGATTACAGTTTTGTGTGGTTTCTGAAGCGTCACTTTGGGGGTCCCATACACTTGTATTATATGGACTTTTTGTGTGTGTGTGTGTGTGTTATTAAAATTACTGTGACAGTTTTGTGTATTTATTCATTTTTGTCAATTTATTCATCACTTTAATTTTAGAAGTGTAAAATCAATCACGTGTAAAATGCAATAGAAGCAATATCACAGACATCATGCAAAATGAAAGTCAGTGTGGCACAGAGCACTTCTCTCTTAGCCCTATTTATTCAGGCATTTATGGAACACTAACGTACACAAGAGGCTTCTAATTCTAGAAGATTCCTGGGACTTAAACTGAGCTTTTATGAGCTCAATGGATTTAATCTGTAGAACTGAGAACTAGTGGGTGAAAGAAAAAGAACTATAGAGGGAAATGTATACATTAGAGTGGAAAGGGAGGGTGGAATGGAAAAGGAGCTTGGCTGTCACCTCATTTCCAATTTTTAACACTTATAAATCGGCCCTCCGGCTGCATCTGTACCACTCAAAATATAAATAATGGAGTTCTTGTGCTTTCATTTGAGGTGAAAACAAAAAGTAGCCCCAGATAACCCCACTTTCTCTCTCTCAAGTTCAAGGGCACAGCCGCTATGACTAGACTGTACCATGCTCTCACGCTCTCAGTCTTTCTCGCCATTCACCCCTGGGCTCGACGGCAGCTTTGGAAAAATCTGACATTCATCAATTTGTTATGATGGAGAGGAGCAGCTTATAGCTCTGTGCCCTCCCATCAATCACCCCACCAATTATTCCCCGCCCAGAACAAATATAAATCTTTGTTTGAGATGGCCACAGGACGGCGAGGCCTTAATGTGTTATTCCTTTAATTCCGAATTGTGCCTCTCCTGCTCCTCCGCAAAAGTACTTTTCTTAATAGGTATTTTTGTCTTGTTTTTCAGTAAAAATATCTCAACCTCTCTAAGTAAGGGGTAATGTACAGCCAGATGGTCACTATTGCAAAATAATACATTTTAGCTTAATAATTGATGTTATTCTATTAATAAAATGTAATCTATTAAGATGGCAATAACATTTATAATATAAACACGATTTTAGATTCACGATTCTTATGTTTAGCCTAATAACTACGCACATCACAAACCCGTCTTTTTAGGCAAGTACCAGATATATGTGTCATGCCATTAAATATTTTAATATGACAGAATTTGTATTTAAATGGATAGTTCACCCCGTAAGACCTTCGTTCATCTTTGGAACACGTGTGACATCAGTGGTTCAACCGTAATGTTATCTCTGTACACACAACACATCAAACTTTGAAACAGATGGACTACAGAAGGAGAAGACCATAATGGGTGTCACTCTTTTCAGTTACATTCTAAAAAATGCTGGGTTGTTTCAACCTAACTGTGGGGCAAATATGGACTAACCAAACCGTTGGGTTAAAGTTTTACATAAAGTTTTTAACCCAAAAGTTGGGTTCGTCCATATCGAAACAACCCAGCATTTTTTAGAGTGTATGAACAGGAAGCTGTTGGACAATAGAAGACTAGAAAAAGGTTGATGGGTCTCGATTTTCTTTACTGTACTGAAAAAGTGAAAAAACAAAACAAAACGTTTGATTTTCTCAGTTATTTGTCAATTACACAGCAAAACTGTTTCTTTTCTTAACCTGATTTCTTCAGTAGCCCCTCACTGCAGAACACAAGATCCAGGGGGCTTGGTTGGATCCACATCTAGGGGGTGGAGATTGGTAGGTTTAGGGGTGGAGATGGGTGGGTTTAGTTATATGTAAGGTGGGAGGAGTTGGATCTGGATCTAACCACGCCCCCTGGATCTTGCAAATCTCTGATAAACTATCTACTAGAATAAATTATCTATGGTGAACGTGAGTCAATCCAGCATGTTCAACAGCATTTTTGTACTGAAACTGTACTTCCCAGCATGCTTTGCATGGAACTTAATGAGGAGAGTAAAAATGTTTAAATGTGTTTTTCAGAAGGATGAGAAAACAGAAAGACATATTAGTGTTTAATGTTCAGTTTTGTTGGGATTTAGAATGGTTTCAGTTACACTGGATAACTATTGTGGTGAAGAGTGCAGTTAAGAAAAAAAAAGCCAACGATTTGTTAGCTAGCTAGCACAATGTTCAGTGATGTGATGCGAAACATATGAACCTGAATAAATGAATCCTGTCAGGGAAGCATATAAAATCACTTTGAGACTATTTTGCCTAATTGGGTCACTTCATTGCATGATGTCAAAGTAACATGAACAAATTATGTTTGTGTAACTTAGTCGATTCATGAGGAACCATATACATGATTAAATCATGTAAATTCATTTAAAAAACAAGACAAAATAAAAGAACCGATTAAGCAAATTTTTATTTTGCAGTGTCCCCTTCCTCAACCTTTCAGTTTCTCACTTTCTCTTGCTCTCTTTCCCAAACTTCTGTGTCCCCTGCTGGGTCACAGGTAACACAAATAGTCTGAGCTATGCAGATGAGGCTGAGGTCGTTCATATTCATGAGGCTGTGGTTTTAATGAGGGACTCAATTACAGGTTCACATTACTCTGAACCTGTGACATTTCGGCTGTCTGAAATAGAAAGAGAGAGACAGAGGCTGCATGTATTCAGCATCTAATTTCTTCATTTTCAATCTGCGTTTTCATTCTCCAGATAATTCCTTATTCCCTTTGCTGATCAGACCAATCCCGATGCAGTCATGATCTTCCATAATTAGCCAAATTATTTGTCTGGGTCTGTCCTTCTGGTATTATATCAGACTGTCTACTCTCTCTCTCTCTCTCTCTCTCTCTCTCTCTCTCTCTCTCTCTTTCTCTCTCTCTCTCAAACTGCTCTGTGGGGAGTGTCTAGATGTTCTGATGGATTATCCAAATTATGACTTTTCCGATTCCATCTTCCTCCAACACACACACACACACACACGTACGCACAGAGGGTCTGATTTATAACTACATCCTCATCTTTCTCTTATTTTTAAGCAATGGGTGATCAATTTGAGAACAGTGTGACCTGTGTTTATTCTGTCTCCAAACATACACTCTGATTTGTGTATCCCCATATAGCACACACAATGATTTGTGGTTTGTGAGGAAGTGTAGCCCACTTTACTTGACACTGATTACAGCCTTTGCCTCTAAACAACCACACATCTCTGCATCACACACAGACACACACAGATGGCTGTTCGTCTACCATGGTAGGGACTCTACATTTCACATGCACTGTTTTTTTGCTAGATATGTTTGTAAAACTATTATCTAATATAAAAGTTACCTAGCCTGAAAAGTAGCTTGTTTTAAACACATCTAATGCCCCCCATTTAAAATGGGAATTGTGGCCTGTTTGAAATCTACTAAGCTTCAGTTCATTGAAGAAAACTGAAATTTTTTAATTGAAGCATTTAAATGTGTCCCACATTATTTTTCTCCATTACAAAACCTTTAATGTTCTTTAAAATTGCGAGACACAAAGTAATAACATTATTTGGACTCTACAGCATGGCAGGAAAGTAAATGATCTTATTTTATATTCTCATTTTTTACACAAATTGTAGTGTTGACCGATTTAACCCTATACCCAAGGTATTGCAAGAAAATAAATTATCAGACAAATGTTTTTCTACAATTTAATTTAGGGAAATATACACTATAATGTTCAAAAGTTTGGGCTTGGTAAGATTAAAAAAAATAAAAAATGTTCAAACTAAGGCTGAATTTAACCACGACTGAGGTGAGACCATTGAACAAGGCACCAATCCCCCAAATGCTCCCGGGTGCCGCAGCAAAAATGGCTGCCCACTGCTGTGTTTGTGTGTGTGTGTGTGTGTGTGTGTTCACTACTCACTGCTGTGTGTGTGCACTTGAATTTGATAAATGCAGAGCACAAAT